CTGTTGCTTAAATAGAGCAGAGTTGATAAAAATACAATATCCTCCATAGCAATGCTGTGTAGCATCTGTCTGAGGCATTCTGGCAGGGTCAGCAGTGATGGGAATTCATGTGTAAATACTTTATCCTATGTGTGTTGGAGTGACCCCCCAACATGTTATTAAGGGAAAGTAACCTTTAATGGAGAGTAAGAAAGGACTTCAGGCCTTTCTGAGAGAAAAATGCATTAGCTGGGATTGCAACTGAATTGATGCAACTACATGGTTTGTGGTATCCTTGAGAATGGGCAGAACAAATTTGTGTTTTCCTGGAAAGGACTAGCGATACATTTAATTTCATGCCACTTTTGGCATGCTGAGAGCCACATTGTTTCCTCCTTTTTCCCTGGGGAAAAGGTTAAGTGTGGATTTGGTTTTCTTTGGTGCATAGACTGCTGTTGCTATTGATTGACCTCGCTGAACTCGGAGCAAGAGCCAAAGCTGTGGTATTTCCAGGCAGCTGTGAACATTTTCAGATGTAAGGAGTGTAAAAGCAGTGACATTTTCAGTATGAGACCAAAAAAGCCCAACTCATATTTTATTTATTTATCCAAAATACTTTGAATTATTCATTAAAGTTGATACAAGTGTGTGAAAATACAAGGTGTTTCAAGAAGCAGCATCATTAGGGTGAAGTTAATAATTTGGCAGTATTAATTCTCTAAGAGATTAATGAAATTTCTCAGTGAGGATTTTTTTTTCCCCCCATCAAACTCTTCAGGACAGGCAACTTCTTGTACATACTCATGGCCAGAATACAAAGCAGATGGGGCAGTAAGATTTCTGTATATTTTCCTGTTCTCTCTGTTCTCTTCCTTTATTTTTTTTTTTCCAGGCAAAGTAAACAGCCAGTCATTATCCCTGACCAAGGCACAGCTTGCCAAATCTCACGGTTATTTTCTCAGTTCTTACTTGTTTCACTAACACTTCAGTGAGAGGTGCTTTGGTGTTCCTTCTCTGGGATGAAGGATATTTTGGTGTGACTTTCCCCATCCGTGGCTTCTGCAGAGCACACCTGCAACTTCTCTCACCTGTTTTGTGCAAGTGTAACAGAATCAAACACAGGAACTCAAACAGGTACTCTAAAACCAGGGATTCTAGTTTTCAAACGCTGTCTTTCAAAGATATAATTAAACCTAATTCTCAAAATGTTTTGAAAGATCTTAAAGGATCAAGACATTCAGTGTTCTGTAGGTGGTAGATAAAATGGGTGGAAACAGTAATGCTGTCATCAGAAACCTGCTCTGTTACTGCACCTCAACCCACCCTGAAAGGATCTCCCTCTGTTCAGTGGCCTCTACAGCTGTGCCTTAAACATTGCTCTGAAATATGCTGAATTGCACTCTGTACAAATGATGACTTTTTAAATCAATTTTTCCTGACTGTGCTAGAAGTTTGGTGGGAATTAGCAGTATTAGGTGAGGCTTAAGAATTAGCACCACCACATCTTTGAATTCAGATGCAAACAATAAGCTGCCTCTTAGCTTAGCATCTTCACTTGAGGGGGGGCAGAAATTAGAAAGATTAATTAGTGTCCCCAAGTCAGTGCGTATGGTGCTTGTGTTGTTCTCTGGGTGCAGGGAATCTGCAGCGCCAGGACTGTATGTGGGCAGAGCCATGGTGCAGAGAGGCTACATAGGTACCCAGTGCCTAAAAATAGGCATCCTGTGCCATTTTAGACACCCCAAAGTGTCTGAGACGTTGTCCTGGGGCTGGCTGGTATGATGCAGAACCTGCAGGAAATTCCTGCAGAAGTGTGATGGGAAGCTGTGAAAAATATCCTAGGGTGTCTCAAATGACTTTGTTTCAGCAGTGAAAGCAGCATTCTACTTTCCTCAAGTCTCAGGTTACCTTCCTACCAAGTTACTCTTCCATGAATCCTCCTCACAATGTAGCTTCTTGGTTGTGTCAGCAGAGCCCTCAACGGAAAGCAGGGGAATAGTCAGAGTCCTGGGTTAATCTCGGAATAGCCCCTAGTTGAATTGTTTCCACAGGATATATACTGCAGGAGGTAGGCATCAGCAGTTCTTATAGCTGAACTGTTGAGGACTGCAATTTAATTGGGCGTAAAAGAAGAGCAATCTCTGTTTTATGGTCAGGGTTCAATGGACTTTTCACTGGGGGCAGTTGCAAACTTAAGCATTCCTATCGTGTCTCTGTGCCTGCTTGTTTTTTTTCTGCCCCATCCTCAAGCTAAAGAAACACTGTTGGGGAATTGCTAAAGGAGCCACAGAGGGGATGACAAGGCTTTATCCCGTCCTTGGCTGGTGCTGGCACTTTCGACCGCATCTGAATTAGCAGTTACTGAGTTCAGCACCTTGTGCCAGTGACTGACACAAGGCATCTCTAACAAGGAGATAAGGTTTTTTCATGCAGATTAATTCCTTCAGCCAGGACAACTGATGCGGTAATACACCAAGACTGCCGCAGGCACTGGAAAAAGGGCCAGGAGGAACAGCAGGGAGGAGGCGAGGGCACGATGTCCGGAGTGAAAGCTTGCTAGTCCTTCAGTTGAATTGAAAAGCTCAGGATTTCTTGCATAAAAGACTGCTTGTAGTCAGTTTTTCCTTTTTCACCCCGAGGGTAGTGGAGGAAAGCAGTTGCCATCACTTAGGTGCTATTCTAGATTCACATGGTTGTAGTCTAACTAGGCCAGTGCTGTTGGGTGGGTGATGAGGCTGCAACCCAACAGGTGCAAGGATGCTCATGATGGCCATTAGCAGTACCAAGTCTGAGAGACAAAACAATGGAAAAGGTGCTAACTCTTCATGAATAACGAAAGCTGTTCAAGGAGTTCCTGAATTAGGGTGCCATCCACCTCCAAGGTTACAAAAGTCAGGAAAGGCAGTGTCCAAGATGCAGTAGAAAAAGGCAGATTTACTTTTCCAAGGCTAGGCTGCATTTATTAGGAAAAAAAATATCGCTGTTGGACATGTGCAATATATTATAGGCAGTGGTGTCTCTGACAGTGGCAAAATGTTATTTACCACTGCAATGTGATCACTGAATTTTTACTTTCATATATAGGATTTTGTCCTTAACAGTTGCATAGCTGAATGAAGACTGTGAGAATATTGAGGTCAGAGCTGCCAATTAACCTCCTGATTTCAGAAGCTGATTACTTGATTAATCAAAGATCAGACCCAGCTGAGATGGTGAAGAAAAGGTTGTAACAATCCGAAGAAGGGTTGAGTTAATCACACAGTGATGAGTGACCCTTTGGGCTTGTAAGCAGGATTTGGATACTCTACCTCACATCCCTCAGAAATTGGGGAGTTTCCTGTTATAGCAGTGTTTTAATGAACAAACTGCTGATGTTCCGCAAGACTGTCTTGATCCCCTTGATAAAGCAAGATACAGCTTGGAAGAGACACAGAGTAAAGGAAATACTTAACTCATATATCATCTCCACAGCCTGCTCAGGAAGGTGGAGCTGAATTAACCAAAGGTGAGGAGTTGGCCAGTGTTAACTCTCCCTGCGTGGATGCTCTCACTCATAAGTAAAGGGACATGTAGTTCTCTTTAACCATTAAAGAGTTCCTGTCCTTGCCTGGGGATTAAGCTCAATTGGATTAAGGCCAAAGTACTTCTGAGCAGGGGCATTCTCAGTGGCATTTAAGGCACTTTAACTTAACACATTGAATTATCCTTTTGTCCCACCCGGAGCGCCTAACTAGAGCAGTACAGAACATAAGAGGAGACTCACATTCTCCTGCTGCATGTGCAGCTGCCCAGAGGTGAATCACAGGCAAGTCCATGGCCTTGCAGTTACCATCCTACGTTCTGCCTGCACTACACTCAGGAGGCCGATGGAAACACTTGTCGGCAAATACTCAAGTAAAAATTTTTCCAGCTCACTTGAGAAACAATAATGCTTTAGCATAGGCTGCATAAGCCCAGCCAAAACCCTTCCTTCATACTGAAGCAGTCACCTTGCACTGAAGTTTCTGATATCCTACTGCCAGCTCCTGAGCTAGCTAAAATAAAGGCGTATGGCCTGCGTGTGCTGCAATTATGTCTCTGATCACAGCACAGTCAAAGCCTTCAACCTCAGAATGACAAAGGTATCTGAGTGAGGAAGTCTTTTTGTTTGCTGTTAGAGTCAGGTTTTTTTACTAACCCTGGACTGCAGTGTTGATAAAACAGGCTGACTTGGGAGACATCCCTACTGTATATTAAAGTAAAGCCAATCTCTGTAATTAATGGGGGGATAAATCGAGGTTTAATTACTCAGAAGGCACCTTGGGTGAAAGATTCATGGTAATTGTTGTGTATCCTCTTGAAGGATTCACAGTACTGGCAGCTCCCTTTGTAGCAATAAAACACAGGGTGAGTGGCAGGCAGTCTCACAGGACCTCTCTTTTAGGGACTAGTCCAGTTAAGGTAGCAAATGCAAAGAGGCAGTGGTACTCTTCAGGCTTTTTATCATAGTAAAAGTCCCTTCCCAAATCTTAAGGGATTTCTAAGCAGTGCGTCAACTTGAGATCAAAGCACTTACAGTCAAATGAAGAGTACATTGGAGGAGATTTCCCTTATAGGCAGCTTTTTCCTCATGCAAGCATACAGAGGCGTATTTCTTACCATTTCTCCACTTTCTTGCTTCGTGTAGCATAACACCCTTCTCTTGGGTTCCGTGTAGAAAATAAGATGTGTGCACGTGGGGAAATGGATGCTATAGCTTTGAATTTTGTAGTACGGTATTAAAAGGCTGGCTGAGCAAAAGAAAAATCCATCCCACCAAGACACGTCTGTTTTCCTTGTTCCCCAGTTTATTATCTTGGTCTGCTGGGGCCAGGAGGAGAGGAATCTAGCTTGCCTGTTCCTTTACTCTGTCTGCTTAATTCACTTTTAAAAAATTTAATTAACCTTTTCCGTTCACTTAGTTTGGCTAGCACTGTAAATACAGCGCAAGGGCTCTGTGCTGATGACGTGTAACAAAGTACCCATTTTCTTCCCTTACACAGAGCTGAAGAAGCAAGTGGAAAGTGCAGAACTGAAAAACCAGCGTTTGAAAGAAGTTTTCCAGACTAAGATCCAGGAGTTTCGCAAGGTGTGCTACACGCTGACGGGGTACCAGATCGACATCACAACTGAGAACCAGTATCGACTCACCTCCATTTACGCTGAGCACCAAGGGGACTGCCTGCTTTTTAAGGTAGGTCTGCACACCCCTTACTGCATCTGTTTCTTTGGGTTTGTGGTTTTCAGCATGCCAGAATATATTTGCTCTTTATCAGTGATTAGACGCAAAAATCACTGCCCCTCTACTATGCGACGGGGTGTTCCTTATGAGGGAAGTAAAGATCCTTTCTTCTTTTTAAAAATTACCTTAGAACGTTTGACATCTGGTCTCCCACTTATATATCAAAGTCAGAAGGAAAGAGAAGAGACTATATATGCATAATACCTAAGGCATTTGGCCTTGCACTTCACCTTTTTATATTATCAGTTATATATGCCATGGCAATAAAACCTTATGTAACCATCAAGGTTTCATCCTTACTTCACTACGAGATATATGTCCTTACTGTCTTTGCTATCCTCTGGCTTGTCTGCGTGCCATCATTTTGGCTTTATGTAAATCGGAATCGCTTTTGCACAACAACTGATCCTTGTGTGTGTGAAGTGTCATTTCTATGAACAGCACAGATGAGTAGCAGTAACAGTCTGTCTTCTGTCAGTCGGATACCTTTGTTGTTCTAGATAGGTGGTCTGAGGTTGGGTTGTGGCTTGATAGGTGCTGTTTTTCTTCTACCTTCCAGCTAGCACAGGTGGGCTAGTGCATTAGAGAGCCAAGGTGTGACATTAGAGTCACCAAGCTGTTAAGTTCCATCTTTATATTGGTTCGGGTGTCAACAGCTCAAGTTTACAGGTCAGTGGGAGAACTTTCTCCGTCTCGGTGGCAAACACAACTGGCACTTAAAATCATACCTGCTTCACACTGATGCCCCCAGGGTAGGAGATGAGGAAATGAGGGGGTCTCATTTATCAGAAGGATGAGGGTTTTGGAGGTGTTTGGTACAGGAGGGAAATCTACAAGTAGGAACTGAGGAAGTTCTGTTTCTGCAGACTTACAGTTGTGTACCGCATGTGTATTGCTGCAGTATTGTTTCTTTACATATCAGAACAAATGTTTTTCTCAGAGCCTCAAAAAAAAACCCAAAATAACCAATAAATAAAGCGAGGGTAAGTATAAGACAGCACCTAGGATCCTTAGTAAAACTAGGAAAATATCCCCAAAACATTTGTGTTACTTGGCCTTATCAGGGTTCAGAACTAACTGAGATGAATAGCAGCAAGAAAGGAAAGCTCAGTGTCCAGGGAGAAGAATAACTGTTGGTTTTTTAAGGTGTTGTCCTTGAATCCTGAAAACAGGTCTCTGTTGAGGTGGTGTAATGCTGTTAGCTCTAACACCTCCAGAAGCCTGTGCTCACACCTGTAGTGTTAAATGTTTAGTGAATGAAACTTCAGCAGACTCCTGGAGATGTCTGTTGGATGCCATGGCTAGACAGTACAACTAGCAGTTCTTTTTGCATCGTAGGAGAGATGGTATGCTTGGAAAAAATTCAGAAAGTATGAGAAAATCGCTTACTGGCCACATGAACAAGAACTGGCTGGCATCTCAGTAGTTTATCTCCAGTGGCATAAAATTCTCCTCCATGTCATGGCAATAAAAATAATTTACATGCAGAAGAGTGAATGATAAAGTACAGATTCCTCTCCCTAAACATTCTTCTAGCTTTCTCTTCTTCATTCAAGTATTTATTCCCAAGAATGTCCAGAGGATGGAGGTAAGTGTCACCAGCAGATCTCACATTTCCCAGAGCTAAGGGTGGGTTGCTTGCTGATTCATGGGATTCCTCAGCCTCTCGTACCTCACCCACCTCTTCAGATAGAAGTGGATTTGCTAATTAGAGCCTGAACAACAAATTCTCAGATTCTTTCTCCCTGTTCAGTAAATCACAGACAATTCCCACTGTCTGCAGCTTAGAATAGCAATAGAATATAAACAACAAATTATTTCCTTGCTGAGTCCAGGCAGCTGATTCTCATGTATGTACCAAGGCTTGAATCCTGACTACGGCTTCCAGTGAGGTTGTGTATTTATGCTGTGGAATTTCTGAGCCATAGCAGACTGTGGGTGTTTGTGTGCATTTCATTAACCCAAAGAAGTCACAAAGCAGGAAATGCTGTTTGTATTTATTCCATTCAAGCAATTTATGGAACAGGGTCTATATAATTAAACCAGAGAAGTCCCCTGGCACTTTACAAGCTTCTGTAGTTTGCCTATAAACTTTAGAGCATATTTCAGTAGCGCTGCTGGTGGCATTTAATTTTCAGTGAGGCTTCAATAGCAGGGATGCAATAGGAGCTCCTGTAATGTAACCCCTTCAAAGCTAAATGAAGATGAAAGATGTGCTTGGTTTTCCTGACCAAGGTATGCTGTTGCTGCAATAGAGCTTATTATCTACATGCTGTATGAGTCCAGCCAATTCACATTAATTGGAATTGCAGCTTCAATGAAAGGGTTAATCACAGTGCCATGCTGTGAATATAAATGACTACATCTATAAATGAGCACTGAATTACAGTGAAACCACATCAGCATTTATTGGCAATCCCTATCGATGCAACACATGAGCTCATCAACTTGAAGGATGTTCCGGTGATTTTTCAGACCCTCTGTGTGTGAGTGCGTAGGCAGCGAGGCGCATCTCAGACTTCACAGCTCACTCTCGCTTGTTTGCTCTTTTTTTATTCTTTTAATTAAATGCTGTGGAAAGTGGTGTTACTGATTCCTCACCAGGAGTTTAGTTTCTGTTGATTTTTTTGTGGTCTGCAATGCATTATAGTTATTGGGGCACTTGACAATTTCATATTCTGTTCCCGTTGCTGGTACATCAGATGTGTTAGGCCATGACACAGACTTTGTGTTCTGCATAATCCTCGACTGGTGTGTCTAGACCAGCCCACCCGTTACAAAGCCAAGAACTGCATTGACTCCCTTTGTACCAATCCATTAAAGATATCTATTAAAACAAACAAACAGTGCTGGGGAGCCTCAAAATCAGCCTAGCCAACTTGGAATTAAGCAGTGGCAAATCAGGATGTCGTTGCTTGGCCGTGTGTGCCTCATGCGGTTTATCCTTGTCTTTGGCTAGATCCTGAATGAGAGTAAGGAAATGAGGCCTTTAGAAAGGCAATGACAGTTGTTTCAGACAAAGAACGTCTTTTGGTAAACAGAAAGACTGGTCAAATTTGAAGAGGAGATGATTTGGAGACACTTGTACAAATGAACAAACAGTGTAGAGAAATTAAATCATGGGCTTTTTCTTTTTGTGTGCCTAAAGATACAGTCCCAGTCAAAGCATTTGAAGCCAATTAATTTAAAATGAAGAGAGCGGAAATATTTTTATTTTATAAACCCTATGACTTCAAGGTACTGCTGAGAGCAGGAGCTTAGTACCTTTTTCTAAAATGGTAAGATAATTTTGTGGACAAATAATAATGCCTAGTTTTACATTTAGTTTTTACACTTACCTTAAGCAGGGACGTGCAGAGCTCTCTGCTTTGGGGTATAAAGGCAACATTTTACTACAGAGGTTAGGAAGAAAATTCCCATGCATGCTGCTTAGTTTTTGGGTTGTGTCTACATATGCTTTTGCTGTTGCTGTACCTGGCCATGTTCAACTCCATCCTCTGGAAATACTTGAGAATGTGAAGCAAGAACAGTGTTCAGAGAGAGAAATCTCTGCTTGGTTATTTACTCTGCTTCAGGTAAACTATTTCCACTGTTGCAGCATGAGTGTGGTGCTGGTCACTTTCTTGATAGCGGCTGCACCCAGAGCAGTGTGGCCAGCAGGGCGAGGGAGGGAATTCTCCCCCTCTGCTCCGCTTTCATGAGCACACACACGTCCCCGCAGTGCTGTGTCCAGCCCTGGGGACCCCAAGATAAGGACATGGACCTGCTTGAGTGGGTTCAGAGGAGGCCACGAAGATTCATGGGGGCTGGAGCACCCCCTGTGAGGACAGGCTGAGAGAGTTGGGGGGGTTCAGCCCAGAGAAGAGAAGGCTCCAGGGAGACCTTAGAGCAGCCTCCCATCACTTAAAGGGGCTACAGGAAAGGGGGACGACACTCTTGTTCAGGGGGTATGGGGATAGTATGAGGGGTTACAGCTTTAAAGTGAAAGAGGGGAGATTTAGGTTAGATCTAAGGAAGAAATTCTTCCCTGTGAGGGTGGTGAGGCCCTGGCACAGGTGGCCCAGAGAAGCTGTGGCTGCCCCCTCCCTGGAAGGGTTCAAGGCCAGGTTGGACGGGGCTTTGGGCAACCTGGGCTAGTGGAAAGTGTCCCTGCCCATGGCAGAGGGGTTGGAATTAGATGATCTTTAGGGTCCCTTTCAATCCAAACAATTCTGTGATTCTACAGAACTGTCACTATCAAACTTCGAGGTGATCTGAAAAGTGCTCCTGATGTGTTTCACTGTGGGTGGAGAGGCAGAACACAAAGGGGTGACAAAGACTCCATACAAAGAAGGATGCAGTGGAAGGGCAGACACCACCTGTATCTTCCCAGCCTTCCTTTGCTTGCCCTACCACTTGTGTACCGTGCTGTTCTGTTCCCCCTGTATTGACAAGGTGTGTAAAATGCAATAGAGCAGCTATGTGCACAAGAAGTAATAGCTTAATTCCCTTTTCTTGCAGAAGGAAATGAGGCCGGATTGAATAAGAAAGAACTCGGAAGCTATTTTTCAAACACAAAGTGATGTTGACAAACTGCTGGCTGAAAGGGAGAGACAAAACTTGTGTGTTCAAACGTGCAGTCTGCTGAGATCCCAGAGCAGCCTGAGCATCAGTTTGCTGGGCCACACTGGTGAACAACGCACATCTCAGAATAAGGAGGGTGGTTAATACAGAGATTACTTTTACTCACCTGAGTGCTCTTGTTTGGTCTTGAAGCTGACAGCACTGTTGGGAGCTCTGAATCTGAGGTCCCCATGCTCAGCATACCTGCAGTTTCAGTTAGTTCCTCCTTGAACAAACTAGAGTATCTCTGAGAAGTATGTTCTAGCTGTTTGTTTCTTCTTGCATCTCTATCTTCTCCCCTCTCCTCCTCCTCACCCTTGATGAGTCTCAAGGGGAGAAAGAAATCACAA